TTCGGCATTTTGAATAGGTTGCTAATAGCAATGGAACAAAAACTGCTGCATGGATCTGTTTTCACCTACTACACTTGGGCATTGAGTTGCTATTCTTACTGAATAGAGCTGCACTGCAATACACTATGTAGTACTGTAAATTGAGTTTGAAGTTGGTCTCAAAATCTGTTATTTTTATTGCTAAAATTAAATGTTTAAAATGTTTTACATCATGGGTGTCCAGCCTTTTGACTTTCCTGGGCCACATTGGAAGAAGAGGAATTGTCTTGGGCTATATATAAAAAATACACTAATAAATAGCTGATGAGCAGAAAAAAGTTTAGCAGATCAGTTAACGATCACTGATACAGATAATGTACTATCTGAGTAAAACAACTTCATTTTATTGTAATATTTTTCATTATCAATATAAAACGAATGCGATATTTGATACTTGTTTTGACAAACTAATGCATCAATATTTGGTTCGATGGATGTAGCAACAATCCTCAAGGTGCTCATCAGATATTTTGGCTCTAATTATACCCTTCAAGTGCTTCATCCTTGAAAATAGTTGCTCACAAATAAAGGCACTGCCAAAAACTGATGACATGACTAGGTGTGATTGTGACGAGTGGGAGGTTTTTCTTTGGACAGATAAAACTTATAAAACTCCAGTAAGGAGACTGTCAAATTTTTCTTCAGCCGCATGTGTTCGCTAAGTGTAAATGAATTTTCAGGAAAAAAAAATTCCCCAAAAAAATCAACATTTTTAAGTAAGTTTATGATTTTTTTTGTTGGGCCACATTCATAGCCATCTTGGGCCATATTCAACCTGTGGGTTGGACGTGCCTGTTTTACATCTAGATAATCTGGTAAATATAAAATATTCCATGTGAACAATTCGTAGTACCATCTGCAAGCTGTATAGCTGGGAGTTCAGTTTACATTGTAGAATAAATCACAAAAGAGGTACATACCCTCTATCAGCCCGCTAGTAAAGATATGACCATCTGGCTTAGTTATACATTGCTAGCCAACACTTGAATAAGCGGTGCTGGGCTCTCTTTATAGAAAGCCCAGCATCCTTTCATGGATGTTTCATGCATACATTCAGTTTAAATGTTTTTTGGAAAATTAAACTTTTATATGGATAGTTTATTAAAAGAATTTAAAACATCAGTATATAGAGTGTGTGATCTAATGTTATTTGGATATTCATGCCCCAAATTTTGTATTATAGGTAACAATAGAAGGGGTATGACCACAATACAGATGCACTGACCAGCCATCTGTATCTGCCATATTGGTCTTTCCATATTCTATGGGACATGTATTTTCTGCCCCCTCTGCATAGGTATCTAATATTTATTATCCATTTTGCCCAATAATCATGTTCTTTTGTATGAAACATTTTACAATCTAATTTTCTATTACTTGCCCTGTTTATGAGAAAAAAAATTGTCATGCCTCGTTCAGATATTAAAGGTTGCAGGAAATTTTAACAAATAATAATAATAATTTTTTTTTTTTCTGTTACTTGATCATCCCTAAAAATCATACTCCAGAGGGCAAATACATGTTCACCTATACCAATACATGAGTGTGTAAAGATATACAAGATAGCATTGCTTTCCCAGTTACAGAGAACAAAATCTGTTTAGCAAACAAGGACCTATAACAATGCTATTCTAATTAAAAAAGCCCTAAATTTCAGTAATAAAAAGCTCTTGTACAATAAATGAAAGAGCTCTTGCTTACAGAAAAATTAATTCGTATTATTGCACAATTACTGAAGATAGCCACAAAAAATTCTGGTGGAAAGTTATATCCAAAAAAGCCATTTCATCAAGCAGTGAGGGAGCTAGAAAGTAATATAATATTAACAAACTGAAACAGAATGGTAAGGAAAGGTAGCTTCTCAGAAAAAAAAAATCACAGCATATTTTAATGATGGCTTTAATTCTACAGTAGACAGATTACTTACATCTAAATATATGGCAGTTATTTCATAGAAACTAAGGAGCTATTCACACTAGGGCACTTTGAATCGTGGGGCAGAATCGCAGCAATTTCAAAATGCTCTGCTAAAATTACAAATTGCAGAACCATGTGTGCAGGTACCATTCATTTTAATGGCACCTGAAAATGCGGTGCTATTCTGCCACATTTGTCGCACGATAAATCACACTGCAATCACAGAAAACCGCAGTAGGCCTACTGCGGAAGCCCTGAGAGGGGGCGCAACGCATATAGGAGAGAGGAGCTGAGCCTGGGAAGTCACGCCACCACCATCTCGCTAGCGGAGCGGTGAGCTGGATGTGGACTGATTTTATGCGAGTTTTGGTTTTTACATCTGTAAGTGAAATTTTAGTGGGGAAACAATAAAGTGTTATATGGAGAGCACTATGTGTTGGCCTCTTTGTTTCATGAGACTATCTTTGCTGGATGTCTGAGCAAAAGGAGGGCGAAAGGAGTCAGAAAGAAGACTTGAATTTGAATTGGAAGAGGGTGTTAATACCCAGATGAGTGCAAATTACTTAATTTGGAGGTGAGTAGGTCTTTCACCTGGTGTGGTGGCGGTGCACCGAACAGTGAGAAGAAGATGATACATACAGTAACACTTATAAACACCAATAGGTATATTGCATGGACTTTGTATTGATAAGACATTTATAATCACGATTGTTAATCACTATTCACTATTGGTAGTGGGATGAGCATTGTTAAGGAAAGGGGGTGAATATATGGAGTTGTGCTGCAGTTTCTTATGAGGCGACTAAAGGTGCTTATGCCTGCAGCAGACTCCCAAACATTTATTTCATGGCTGTATCTCAGGCTATTTTGACAGGCCAAGTTTTGGCAGTTCCTGACAGTGCCAAAGCTTGTCCACCCCTTCCTGCCCCCTACACATTTCTGTTGGCCAGTGAGGCTGACCATATTAGTGTGGGGGTGAGTCCTACTTACTGATGTTCTTCTGGCTTGTGGACACGCATGTTGAAAAGGTGGAAATTTTAAACAAAGCAACTTGTTATAGAGAGGGTTGGAAAGATTTAGAACCTTTGGCGAGTTTTTATCATTAAACCTTGGTTCACATCAACACATGACTTAGGGCAGTCCATTCATTCCAATGGGCTGCCCTACCCTCAAGAAATAAGGGGAAATAAACCCCCCACCCTTTTGTAAAATCACTTTGGCACCATGCACTTTGGTGCCCATGAGAACACATACATGTGTGATTAAAAATTAATGGCACCCCCAGTGTGTCTGCTAAAAAAGCAGCGAATTTCTGTGTGTGTCAGGAAAGCATGGAATTAGACATGTGTTCCCAACATGCATAGGTGTGAACCAAGCCTAAGTGAGTAGAAATCTTTTCACTAGGAGCACATACAGTGTTAAAAATATTTATTAATCAATGACAACCTCTACACCCTGGCTGGATAGATTCTTCTCTCTTCTCCTTTCACAGAAACCATGTCAAGGAATGTTTTATTGCTGTAAGTGTCCCAGCTGGAGACACCTCCTGACTTGGTGGTCACATCATTGAGATAGGAAGCACGGCAAACCATCCCTGATGTGTACAAAGACAGAAATAAATAGGTTTAGTTCTTCTTCATGCTGTTCAAACTAATAGAAAATGTTGTCTGGAGCTCCACTTTAAAGGGAAACTAAACTTGGCAAATATTTGCTTCTGCTTCAAAGATCTAACATTCAGGAGATCCCTCACTTACACCATCTTTTCCCCAGATTCTTTCAGGTGTCGGGTCTTTGGCTGCCTTGGTTGGCCAGTGTGGGATGACATAACCGAGCAGGAATTTATTCATCCTGGCATCAAAGCACCAGGCTGGGAATGTACACTGAGCTGTACATATGCAAGAAGAAGCAAATATGGTTGTTTTCTGGTAGAAGAGACATAGCATGCCTCCTCTGCCATAAAGAGCCTGCCTGCTTGCATTTTTTTTACACTTTAATTTCACATTAAGTAAAGCTGGCCTCTAATTTTCCATACTGATGTTGTTTTAATGAGTGGGTATGTGTGTTGTTGTGTGTGAGTTAGGAAGAAAAAAAAATAATTTAGCTGCCAAGAATAGTCACAACATGAAAGGAATGCAATGATAAACCACATGAATAGCGCTGTTAAAAATAAAAAAGTGTCCCTTTAATTACATTTGAACATCAATTATGTTTGCTTATAACACATATGATGTTTGCGTTCAATTTGTGAAGCATTTGCTCAATCAGAATAATGAGCTTTTCTAAATGTCAGTAGGGAGATAGTCAAAAAGGAGAGCCAGCATCAATAATGCAAATGAAGGCACCTCTAATATATATTCCTGGCCATGTGCAATGATGTCATTTCATGTCACAGTCATATTTAGGACAAAACTCACATTTGTCAAATGTATGAGGTAAACTGATGATGTCATCTTTCATTTTATTACCATCTCTCTGTCTAATGTTAAAAGTCACTACATTTTCATTACAGTTTGAACCATTTATTATTTGGCGTATTTAAATCATGTTGTGCAATGTAATAAATATGTGGAATTGCCTTGGATTGTAAAGATTCAAATATAATACATACTAGGGTTGAGTAACTAAAACTGGAGAGTGCAAAATCTAGTGCAGCGCTACATATTAACCAATCAGCTTCCAGGTTTCATTGTCAAAGCTTAACTGAACAAGCTGAGTTAGAACAAGTTAGAAGCTGATTGGCTACTATGGACAGCTGCACCAGATTTTGCACTCTTCAGTTTTAACAAATCAACCCCATTGTGTATAGTGGGTGTGCTATAAGTGAAACATGGAGGCTGCCATTGCTGGGTCCCACATTTGCTAGTTGCCTGATTTCATTAACCCTCTTATCCACGACTGATGCTGCTAGACTATTTTGCACCCTAGGCAAGACCAGCTACTTGCCCCCCCCCCCAAATAAATATATATATATTTTTTTTAAATTAGAAAATATTAAGTCAACAAAACATGAAACTGCTAAATTTCTTTTAATTTGCAAAAATAAATGCCATAGGAAGCCACTAGCTCCAATATTAAAGAAAAAATCAGTGTCACGGATGGACTGTATCTGTGGCTGGCAGTGGCAGGGTGACAGTTGCAGTGAGTGGAGGATGATGGATCCACACTCTGACAGATCCCAGACTGGAATTCCCCAGGCAATGGGGGGAGATAAAACTCTGTGACAGCAGGCAGCTGAACTGAGCGATCTCACACAGCACCCCCCCCCACCAACACTGACACAGATCAGCAGGCCAAGCAGGCCCAGCAGGCCCTAGAAGATCAGGTTGTGGGATCGTGTTGATGTCATCATTCACTGACACATTGCACATGTGATGGATGGCCGGCTGGGTCACATTCAGACAGACAAAAGACATCAGAGCCAGACATTACTTTTCTCTGCAGGTGCAGCTCTGCCTCCTCTGATGAATGGGGAGATAAGAGCTGGAACTCCACAGTGATCAGCAGCCGCCAGGCGTCTTGCAGTAATGGAGTCTGAGAGGAACATTGGAAGTAGTGGCAGCTCAGCTTCTACACTAGCCCTAGACACCCGGCATCTTCCTCTGTAAGTTTTTCCTCCCCTCTGTTGCCAATCCTCTCAGCTGAAGGATCATTCATGATGTGGTGGCGTCCCACACAGAGAGAATGCCGGCCTGTGCTGCTCCCAGGCGCCCCTAGGTGGCAGAGTGCCCTAGGCAGCCACCTAGTTTGCCTAGTGGAAGCAATAGCCCTGCTCTTACCTCTATTCTTTGGTCCGCTAACCTGGGACAAGTATGCAGATATGACTCCTACTTTCTCTGACTTTACCGATTTTCCTGATATTTGTCCTGCGTCAGTGACTTGGTAAGCATTAAAGCCATTGGGTCAGCATACTATTAGAAACTTCTTTAATTATTATATTTACCCTCTTTACTAACATTACCAACCATGCTTAAAGTATTATTTCTGTAGGGATTATGTATGAGTGAGAAGTACCCACTTGGGTTTACTAAAAGCAAATAGGTTGTCAACTTTGCAAGGGAATTTTTCCCCAGAACTTAGTGAATGAGGTAAAGCTCTGCTGATGTCCATCTTCCAATCATGTGCAAGCAAAAATGCAGTTTTTCAAGTAACTCTGTGGCTGGCATAATTGTCCTTGCATGTGAGTGTTTATTCATTGCAAAGTGAAATATTCACTGCATTCACCAAGCTCTGGGGCAGATTCCCTTGCAAAGTAAATAGTCTACTTGCCTTTAGTAAACCAACTTCTAAGTGTTCTGTCCAGGGGCGGACTGACCATTTGGAAACTCGGGTCAGTAGGGGGCCCCATGAGATGCCCCTGGTACCTTTTTCATAGGCTTTTTTGAGTTTGGGCAAGGACACAGGGGCCCAATGATCCCCTATTGCCCGGGGGCCCCATGAGTTGTCAGTCCGCCCCTAGTTCTGTCTATATAATATTCATTTGCAAAGGTTGGGAAAGTAAACAAAAAGACAATATGGAGTCTATGTGAACATATACATTATTTTGGTTACGTCTAGAAAGTTGTAATTCTGTATGTTTAAAAGATATAATCAAGGTTTTGCAGATGGTATTTATCAGCCAAGCTAAAGGAAGGTGAACTAGACTAATGAGACTATTGAGAGCATGTGAATGTTTACAAAGAATATGAATATGGATGCTCATTTTTTACTGTACTATTTCCTTATTAGGGCATTAATATAAGAAAAAAAACATTACATTGTGAATAATCATCATAAAACAGTATATGTAATATTATTTGATTAAAATATTAGATATACAATGCATTAAATCTATAATTACAATTTATTATGTAGAAGGGTAAAAGCCTTTCCCCATCCCCCTCTTCTACTGGTCAACTGGACAAAGTCAACTGAATTCATGTGACATTGTGTTACATAAAACTACTGTAGTAGAATGGTGTGCTGCTACAACACACATTTATATTTCCTGTCAGGGATCGCGGCAACGAATGGCTCCGCGCATGCGCAGAGCGCCGATCCATTCTAGCGGCGGACACTAGGACCTGGACGGCGGCGGCCGCACATGCGCACTCGCGATCGCGGCCACTCGCCTGGCACCAATGGCAGGGCAGGGCACACTATTTAAACCTGCCCTGCACCTACACTCATTGCCATATGGTCTTATTCCTGTGTTCCTGTATTCCTGTTGTTTGAGATTCATTGCTAACCTGCCTGGACCTGACCTCTGCTGACTTCTCCTGCTCTGACCCCTGTCTAAGTTTGACCTCTCTTTTGGATATCCTTACCTGATCTGAACTACTGGTACCGACCCCGGCGAGTGACCTGACTATTCTTCTGCCTGCTGCCTTGTACTACGCTGACCCCTCTGTTACCGACCTGGCCCGTTTGACCACTCTCATCCATCCATCCATCTGGCACGGATCCAGCCATCCCTGCTTCCGCCTTCTACCTCTTCACGTCAGGCTCTCCACCTGCACAGGCCCCCGGCGGATTCCTCTACCGAAGACGGGTGTACTCAGGGGCCGCAACCTGGTTCCAGTCTGCTCCAAGTCCATCCCCACCATCAGGGGCCCTGGTGAAAAAGCAGGCTGGGGCTTAGACCCCACACTCTGGGGAATCCTGTCCTGCGGGCTGCTAGAGGTACCGCCAGGCGGTTGCTAACATTTCCACATATTTACACACAGGCTAAACTCTTACTTTTTCTTAGTACTTTATATCATATCATGAATTCTATATTTATGTTATGCCAGGTTTACATTAAAATAAATCTAATATAGGGAAATGTAGTATCTCTTCTGTTGACCACTTTTTAAAAAATGCTAGTTGCCTGCTTGAAACAGCTACATAAAATGGAAAAGTCAAAGAAAAGCTCTTGTCTGCTTATTTTCTCCAGGATAGTGCCTTGTTCTGTATAAACATGATGGCCAACAGCATTTTCAGAAGGTCACAGGTTTTCTTAAATGTAATTTTTTAATTTATTTTTATATTCCTTATTGAGTTTTTCAGGAAACATGCCTTCTTTCTACATACCTAATGACAGCAGGATCTTGCTGAGACTGTACTGCAATATGACAGCCAAAGAAATTTTACCAGGGAGGACATGATACACACTGGGATAGATTTACTGTGCACTCTGCAAGTGCAATTGCACTCATTTTCCCCAGAGCTTAGTGAATGTGGTAAAGCTTCACTTTGTAAGCAATACCCAATCGGGTGGAAGGAAAATATCTAAAAAAAAAACCCCAGCATTTTTGCTTGTACATTATTGGATGATGGAAATCAGCAAAACTTCACACATTCACTAAGCTCTGGAGAAAATGCATGTAACTAAACTAAACAAAGTCTATTTAGTAAATCAACCCCACTGCTGGCATATCAGTAGCTGGCTTCCTGTTTATTAGGAACTAAGAATTTCCAGGAAAAACTAATTTTACCAGTACAAATACGGTATATATTCTATATACTGTATATAGTATATAAGGTGTTAACAGTTTCGACAATTCTATCCTTTTCAACTTAGAACAGATGTAGAAAAGATTCATATCAGTTTAGATATAACATTAATGAAATTTTTTTTAATATACAATGGCCTTCCCCTCACTACCTAGCCTTACAACCAAGTACCAGCGCAAAATGTGTGTAAAAAAGGTGTGTGTCTGTGTACCTGTTTAACTGTGCTTTGATTTCAAATACAATCTGCATTTATTGCATCTGCTGAACCAAGGGTATTGTTTGTGATGTGGATTATATGCATGGCTAGGCAAGTCTGTGGTTACTGGTGGGCATTGCATGTGGATGGCAACCCAGTGCCTTGCGATAGAATCGCCATTTATTTGTATTCCCCAAAATCCACTCACTTGTTACAAAAGTCAAACCTTACAATCCCCAACTTTTACCACTCCTTGGGCCCCTGATGTATGCCTATTGTCCTACAGAGAGCAGTGACACATGGCTGTCACATGAAGAACAGGGGTGTGGCTTTTACTTGCAGGTTGCAATTGGCAGCCTGACTTCACCTTATCTTTTCCATTGGTGAGGAAATATGGTAGAATCCAAAGGGATGGGTCTCTGAGGACAGACTGAAGAGGGGTTCCTCTTTACTAATTATGTCTTCATGAGTCATTTACAAGCTAAATAGGTATATTTTTGGCATCAGGTTCTAGACCAGCTTTTCTCAACCAGGGTGCCCAGGCACCCTGGGGTGTCTTAAGGTTTTTTCAGGGGTGCCTTGGCAAAATGTCTAAAAATTGTCCAAATCATGTATACAAGCCAGTGGGTGCAACAAGCCTGCATTTTAGTTACTAAAAGCCACAGGCTTTCATTGTGCACCATTACGACCTTCTAGCCACCGGCGTCCTGACAACCAATGACATCATCAGTATATTATTATTATTATACAGTATTTATAAAGCGCCAATAGTTCGCTCAGCGCTGTACATTGAGTATAAGAGGAGGATATTAGCTGCCTGCACAGCATCTTAGGTGGCCTCTGCAGTGGCCCTCTCCATCAGTGCTGGGGTCACATTAGCTCAATGATGGTGAAAAACTGAGGGAGAAGAGAAACACTGGGATACTAGTCAGTACCAGTGTTCAAAAGTGTATTTGTTTTGGAAAAATAAATCACCGCTAATGTTGGGTGTCCTACATGTGTGGATGTTGCTGCATTATATGAAACTATTAGAATAGTTTTTCACATTTTAGAATGGGGCGCCCTTTTAAAATTATGGACAGCCTTAAGGCACCCCATTTTTGAATGGGGTGCCTCAAGACTGCCCATAATTTTAAAGGGTGCCTCGGGACTGTCCATAATTTTAAAGGGTGCCTTGACTGAAAAAAGATTGAGAAATACTGTTCTAGACAAATTGGGAAAGAAAAGGGTTGCTCTAATGCCAAAGAATCTGTAAAAAGAACATCTAAAAAGGGAAAATCCCTTTATACCGCGGGTATATTGTAAGGTCAAAATTAGAATAGTGTTACACTGGGTAGAAGATCCTTTTACGCACTAAACATAGTCAAATAAAACTTGCAGAGAAACAAACATTCCACGGCGCCATAATTTCGGCTACAGTTTTAGAACTGAACACATTTTCTTCCGAGTAACCTTAAACATTATAATAACCACAGCAGGGAAGCTAAATTCAATTGTTTTTCAATTTTCTGTCTAATAAAAAGTGATCACATTGAAAACTACTTTTTGCAATATTGTTATGCTTCTCAAGATGCAAAGGAAACAAAGAAGCTGAATGATCAGAAAAAGATTAGACTTACCCTATTTGTGAGGCAGTAACTTAAATATATTTATCTTTTCATAGAAATGGAGACAGGAGCCTGGCCGCCATCTACACGTCTC